GCTCTTATAGTCTTATCTTATTCTTTTTTTCATTATTTAGAGAATACTTTATTAGTTTCTGTAATCACACCCATGTAGATATGACCTTACATATTTAGTATGATGTGTTACCCCTGTACACATGGAAAAAAAAATAAAAATAAATTAACATTAGACCAATATGGTTGTCCATTTCTGTACAATGCCAAGATATAAATACCTTTAATTACACATTTTAAATTTAAGCCAGTTAATCACTAGGTAAATTTATTTTAGCCAAATTAGCTTGCACTAAATTGATTTTGGGCAAGCTGATCTTTTACATTTTTTCATGTTGGTGACATAGAAATAGAACCTGAAGACCATCCTGGTGACCTCTCAGGGGGACGTGGGTCCCACTGGATGGAGCTGTACATCCTGGCCGTCATGCATGGGCTGTCCCAGCCTCAGCCGTGTCCTATGTCAGGCAATTCATCCATGGTATTCAGCTCCTTGTGAACAGTAAACACCTGGTCCAGAGATTCTGGTTCAGAAGGTCGGTCAGAAGTGACTCCCAAGAGTAGCAACAGGGGACGGTCACAGGGGTCCGTGGATTCTGCTCTAAGAAAGAGTGGCCTTTTAAACAGAAAATAAAGAGGAGGGGGGATAAGAGCAAGAGGCCAAGCGTGGTTTGCAGCTCTGCCTTTTAAAAGGTGCAGTGCAGGACCCTACCATAGAATGCCTGGGGTCGGGGACAGCATCTGTGTAACTCCATCAGGCCACCTCCCAACCACCGCCACCACCACCGCCACCCCTGGCTTGAGAACCAGCAGGAGTCTATGCGTGCGCTCACACCTTCACCAACCGTAGAACCACATGGCCCACACCATCACCCTGCAGGGAATCGCATACAGAACAGAAATCAGCCGGGGCTCCTGACCATCGAGGTCTGGGGATCCAGGACAGAAAGGCTACAGGGAGACATGGTCTGCAGCTAGACATTCAAGAGCAAACTCAGTTTCGTTCCTCAGCCAGGTACCAGGAGGGCATCTCAGGAAGTTGTGACAGCCGAAGCTCTGAAGAGAGGATGAGCAAGGTTAGTGGGAGCCAGCAGGGAAACCGGCCAGCCCGGAGGACGGAGCGCCTCAGGGGTCACCTGGGTAAGAGGCACGTGGCAGACCTGAGACTAGGAGTCGTACTTGTACCTGCAGCATGGACTGGAGCCTTGTGGGACCCCGGGCATGGACAGTGTGATGCTCTAGGGCCAGATTCTATGCACAGCACCTGTATTCACGTAATGAGAGAAGATGAGGTCCTAGGCTGGCATCGTGGGTGAGGGAACAGAGAAAGACGGGTAGAAAATAAAGGTTACACAGAAATTCAGAATAGCAGTGCCAGGCATGGTGGCACACGTCTATAATCCCAGACTCGGGAGGCTGAGGCGGGAGGATCACTGTGAGTTGGAGACCAGCCTGGGCTACATAGTGAGTTCCAGGGCAGCCTCAACTGCATAGTGAGACCCTGTCTCAAAAAAAACAAAAAAACAGAATAGCAGCAGTGTGCAGCTGGTTCCAAAGCATGCCTCCACATGCACCATGAGGCATGACTGGGTATTGAGGTGTCACTGAAATATACCCACAGACACACGGCTCTGTTGGCAAAGGCCTGAGGTGCCCTGACAGTGCTTGGTTATATACAGTGTTGGGGAAAGGTAGGGATCGCATACCAGATTCACAGAAAACGGGTAATTTTAGCTTGATTCTTAATTTCTTCCCCTTTTATCTAATCCCCTGAGCCATGAATGGTTTTGAATGGTCCACGTTTTTCTCTGCCCATATTATCAGTAGCTGTGTGTAGAAAAGCAACCAGAGAGGAGATGCAGGCAGGAAAGGAGAAGGGAGGACATCCCTGTGATCCTACCTCTTTCCTACAAGAGGGATCAGCCCCAGTAGTTTGATCCACCTGGTGGTTTCTTCCTTGCCCTGTCATGGTAGAATTCTTGGGACCCACTTGGCCACTTTTTCAATGATGAAGCAGGGACATAGTGACAGGAAGTGATGAGCAGAACCCAGGCTCACACTGCCCTGTCCTAGGAAGAGAATTCCATTCTCCCTTCCTGGCTGTACTTCCACCTGATGAAGGGGATCAGCAGCTGCCCACTTTGCCTTAGCAAAAGAACCTGGGCTGAGAGTCCCCAGAGGAAAAGAAAACCTTAACACTTCCAGCCTTATTGCATTTACTGTGTTTGTGCTGAAACTCCCAAGGGCCCCAGGGGAACCTTTCCCCAGCAGGAACCAACAGAGATACAGAGTTTCTGCATCTTGCTCAGAGCTTTGGAAAGAGCTCGTGCTGCCTGCCCTACTGGTGTGTGACCTCGTGTTCTGTGCATGTGAGGACAGAGTGAGCTGTTAGGACTGAGTGTGTGAGAACCTGTAGTTGTGACTGGTTTGCATTTGAATGTCAGGAGAACAGTCTCATCAGTCTCCCTGAAATCATTAGCTTTTTATGTATTTTAGCTGTAGGATCAGCAGTTTAGTGTCCCACCCTCTCATAGCCACTTGACTTAACCCATCATAATGTTCTGCTGGTCTTTATACCCACATCTCCCTCCTGAGGTATGTGTTTCTGGGGGAGGTGTGAATTCACCCAGCAGCAGATCCTCAGCCTCAGAGCTCCGGCTCAGTCTGCACGCATGGGACGCCTCTCTCGCCACATGAGCTGCATGTTCATCAAGATGCTAAGGGACCGGGCTGAGTTATGCACGGCCATGATCACAACTCTCTGCATGCCCAAGACCCTTCAGTAAGCAGGAAGCGCCGTCACTGTCCCCCGAGGCAGTTTCCTTGTCTGTAAGAGTGGGATAGGAATGACATCTGCATCACAGGCTTGTGAGGATTAGTTTGGTTAATATATGAGAAACACTTAAGATAGAAGGGACCTGGCACATACTTGGTGTGACACAGGTGGAACATCCTAATCTGAAAGCGCAGACTTCCAAAATGCTCCCAAATTTGAGACTTTTTTATTGCCAGCATGATGCCACAGGTTACCCTTTCTTGTGCTTCCGTCTGTCCTGTGTAAAGTCACTCAAAACATAGTATAAAATTACCTTTGGGGCTAGTGTAGAAGGTGTGTGACACGTAAATTATTTCATACTTAGACTTGGGTCTCATCCCCCACCCCCAAGCTCTCATTATGTGCAAGCAAATATTCCCAAATCCACAAAAATCTGGAACCAGAAACACTTCTGGTCCTAAGCATTTTGGATGAGGGACACTCGGTCTGTGGAAGTCTTGGCTGTAATCACCCCCACCGTTGTTAACACTGAGGCAAGGCGCGTCCTCGGCACCCAGTGGAGTGGAGGGTGGTTCGAGGGTCCAGGGAGGTTCTAGGGCGAGCTGGATTGGGAAGAGTAGGAGTTGACCAAAAAGACAAAACAGAAGGATATCCCAGCCCGAAGGAAAATAACACCCAGGCCACAGGTATGGAAGGACAGTCAGGAGTGAAGGTGCATGCGTGGGGTTAGGGTGCAACGGGGTGGCTGGGTCCAAAGGGAGAGGGGAGCCTGAATGTACCCTCCGGTCTCCCTCAGTGGATGAGGCAGAAGGGAAGCACTTTCATGAGAACATGAAGGAGCACAAAGGCTCCCTGGCAGGCTCAGCTGAAGGTAGAAGCTGAATCTGTGAGATACCGAATCAATCGAGTCCAGAAGAGAAGGGAGGAACTGCTCGGGAGCTTTCCGGGTACCACAGGAAGAGGAAGGGTTGTTTCCAGCTGTGGGAACCGGAGCAAAATGGTATGAGGAGGCGAAGCTAGTGGCAGATGGCCTGTGGGAGGCCTGAAGAACACGTCCAGGAGCTGACGGAACGGTCACAGGGTCAGGTTCGCCCTTCTTTGGCCGGGCTGCAGAGTAGATGGTAGGATGGCCACACACGAGGCAGACAGACAGCTGGAGAAAAGCATTTCTGTATCTTAGGATCTCTGAGATCATGTGTCAGCATAAGGTAGTATCTCCCAGTGTGAGACAGGTGTGATGTCGAGATACCCCACTTCACCCCTCCTGCGCCCCCCATTCCTCAAAGACTGGCCTGCAGTGCACAGGCTCAACCACCCCTCCCCACTGTCAGACGCATTCCAGGAATGTGGGGTACAGAGGACTCTAAGATCCCCTCCCCACGATACTCCTGGGCATGGGCCTGACCCTGACCCCCTAAATGTGAACCATTTCTGGGAAGCTTCTGGGGTGCTGCCATGAAACCGAGGAGTTGGTTCTGTGCCAGAACCTGTCAGGTGCCAACATGGCGGTGCAAGGGACACATTCTGGTGGCTCAGTGTGCACACCCTTCCTTCGTGCACAGAATTATTGAAATACCATAAAATTATCTCCAGTCTGTATGTATTTGCTGTCCACAGCCCAGAGTGTCCCCAGGGAGCCTCCTAGCAGTGTAGACCGACTGAGTGGATGGCACGGCATGAGCCAGACTCTGCAACAACTAATCCTCATGCAGCAAGCTCCCAGGACGGGGTGGTCTCCCCTAGTGACAGATGAAGGAACTAAGATTGGCAGCATTCAAGCTCCTTGTGAAGGACATGCTAATGGTGGATTTGATCCTGACTAAGGCTGGCTTCTGTCCCCAAGTGTCAGCTGAAAAGACGCATTACTTTAAAGTCACAGACATCATGGCAGATCCTAGAAAAGACATCTTTGGCAGTCGGTGGGTTTTCTTGAGCTGGAGAGTCATTGTACACCCTCTTCTTGCTGCTTTCCTCTCTGGACTGCTCAGGAGCCTCAGGCTGACATGACCTAGGATAGACACTGGTGACATTGGGGTTCCTGGGGTCCCTTAGGGCCAGAATTTTGCAAGCAGGAAAAAGCTATGATACTCACTGAGTAGTGCTCGCCCTGCTGGGGCTTCAAAGGATGCATTGTGTCCAAGGGATCACCTGAAGGGCCATAGTCCCAGCATGGGCACATGGGGTGTTCTGGGTGTCTTCTGACACCCCCCAACTCACATCTGCCTCTCACCCTCCTTTTGTCACAGATCCTGGCGCCCCTGTGAAATTGCCTTGTCTGCCAGTGAAACTGTCGCCTCCGCTACCTCCAAAGAAAGTCATGATCTGCATGCCCGTTGGGGGACCAGAGATCTCCCTGGCTTCCTACGCAGCCCAGAAGAGCAGCCAGCAGGGCGTGGCCCAGCACCACCACACCGTCCTGCCATCCCAGATCCAGCACCAGCTGCAGTATGGCAGCCATGGCCAGCACCTGCCCTCCTCCACTGGCACCCTCCCCATGCACCCCTCGGGCTGCAGGATGATAGATGAACTCAACAAGACGCTGGCTATGACCATGCAGAGGCTGGAAAGGTAATATGGGCTGGACAGAGGAGAGAAAGGAGCGGGTTGGCTGGAAGTGGATTAGGGAATGAGAGAGCGGACAAGCCTCATCCCCACAAAGGGGAAAAAAAAAAAGACTTGAAAGTAAAATCAGACCAAAAACTGGTTGTCAAGAAAAGTCTGGAAGAAAATAATGATATTGCTAATTGTCAAACGATAATCAGATTTATCACAAAGAAATAGTAACACACAACACACACATACACACACCCATGTCATGCTTCTCTACATATTAACATTTTGTGAAAGGATGTACATGTAATTAACAGAGGTCACCTTGGGGTCGGAAAATGAGAAGAAAATGCTTGTATTTCATACTTTACTGCTTACATTTTAATTTTGTGACATTCAAAAGACAATTTAAATGTTAGCTAGGGAAGACAAGAGCTAGCAAGGGGCTGGCAGAGGTGTCTTGCTGATGGAGGAAACAAGTATTACGGTTAGATCATGTGCACATGAGCCAAGCTTGAGGACTGGGCACCCACTGAGCAGCCCCCTCTCACTGGAATTGGCCTCCAGAAGCGTTTCTGGGAGACCTCCACAGGGGACCTGCATCGCTAGACATGCAGGAGACCCTGGCTGTCCCAGGCAGGGAAAGCCCTCATCTCTAATGCTTCTCATAATTACTCTTGTGTGTGCACATGGCTGTGTCCAGGTTCCACCACCACCCTGCCTCCTGTCAAAGAAATACTGGGATTTCCCACCACCTCCCTTGACCAGGTTCCCTGCCTGACAAGGAGAACGTGTTTCTGCCTGGACCTGAGACCCTCAGTTCCCAGGGTAGTGACTGCTATTCACTGGATCCAGTGGGCAGGGAAATTACAGTCTGGAGGCCCAGCAGATAGGCAAGGCAGAGAGCCCAAGGCAAAATGCACACAGGCAGGACCTCTGAGGTGCAGCTTCCTCCCTGTCAGCCAAGAATTATGAGTTTGGGAAATGAGCTGGCTAACCAGGAAGCTGTTTCTAGGAATTCTACTTGATGCCTTTGTGTTAATACCAGTCCTCCCTGTGAGAGAAACAGCAATTTCATTTGTCCTTTTGCTTTCGTTTTCAACTACTGCTGTTAGAACAATAATAACTTAAAACTTAGGGGGCACCCTTCAATCTATTACACATCCACACACCACCATCACAGTCATCACCATCGTCACCGTTGTCATGTTTAATCCTCACACCCCCTGGGGAGGCTGAGTTCATGGAGAAAGGAGGGTTGAGTAAGCACCCCAACACCCCCTACTCAAAGCATGGTCTACATGTTGCTTGTTACCAGTGTGCAGCCACCTAAATGCATACTTTAGGATACTTTTATAGCAATTTGGTAGAATGGTTTTATCTGCTGACTCTTGTGATTTAAAAAAGGCTTTATTTCTGAACATCTTTAATTATATTTTACAAAAGCATCAGTTTGTGATAGATTAAAACTTAGAGGAAATGCACAATAAAAATTGTCCTTTTTGCCTAAACATCTAGTAGTGACTGAGGGGCCGAGGCATGGGTCTTTCTACCCAAGTTCAGAACTCTCTCCTGTAGCATAGCTATTTCCTAGACAACTGACCACAACATAATTTCCAACCCATCTGAACAAGACACTCATAACAAGATATTAGTAGCATATCTCCACTTAAAATGTGCATTTCATAATATCCATGGGTATTTGTGGAGTGTTTCATTGGAGTTCAGACCGATGCGTGGGTTGTTTGGCCCTGTACTAGGCAGGACTCTTTATTAAAATGAACCAAAGAGATCAAACTGGAAGGAGATGTTGGGGTGTAGTAAAGAGGGTCCAGCATGACCTTGCCAGCTGAGCTAAAGCTGCCTTCACACCTTGCGCCACCCCAGACTCTGGATACCTCCTCTGTCTCTCCGCTGCACTCATTCCAACGTGGCCATGTAGGCCAGGCAGGACATTGGGAATTCATTCAGCATCACTTTGACAAGAATGCCCACCCTGAGAAGGAGAACCTTCTTCCCAAATAAAGATTACATTTTTCTGAGCATCCACATAGTCTCCCAGGAGTCAGAAGGATCTGAGAGAAGGTCAAGGACACAGGCTGCTTTCCCATGTCGGGAGGGAGCTATCACTCTCTTCACTTCCTAAAAATTCTCCCCGTTGCCTCTCAACATGATTACATTCTGGACCTAACCAAGTTTCATCCAGAAAGAATTGTTTCTCTATTCTCCTAGCAATTTCCAGTGACTCAAAAAAAACACTGCAAGGAGGAAAAAATTATTACTGAACATTAAGGCAGTCTGCCTCCAAAGATTCTTGGGCCATCTCTGCCTCTGAGATATCCTAGGATATCTGTCACCTGTGGAGTCTCAGCTCCGTCCTGTAGTCTGATCCTGAAGAAAACATGGTTGGTGATGTAAAGATCAATGAGTAGTTAAAAAGCATTGATGCCGGTCTTTGGGCCATAAGTCTATATAATAGTACTCTTATCATTGGATTTCAAGGCTATCTGATCAACCAACCCCTACCCATGATGTTGTCCCTGAACATGTAAACTCTAGTCTCTGTATAAATGGCAACCTCAGCCCCAAGACAAGCCTGGTCCATTGGCAAAAAGGTCTGATTATTTGAAAATGCTTTTTTATATTACATAAAGTGTCTTACCTATTGTGACATATTTCCCCAACTTTATTTCTGATCTTCCTTTAAAAAGCTTTTGCCAGGACATGACGGCAACCTACTTGTAATCTCAGCTACTCCAAAGACCAAAATGGCAGTATTATAAGTTCAAGGCCCTCCTGGGAAACTTAGTAAGACCCTTTCTGAAAATGAAAAAAGTGTGGGGGATGTAGTTCAGTATGAGCCCTAGGTTCTATCCTCAGAGTCATATAGAGAAAAGGTAAAAACAACA